ACTTGAAACCTGTTTTGCTTTTGTTCTTGGTTACTCGAATCTCGATGAATGCAAAAAACTTCATAGAATTCTTTTACAACCTTTCTGGAACACACTATCAAACATTACGCAAGTAACTAACTACCATATTGTATGGTATAGTAATTTTTGGATGTTTAAGTGCAAACTGTATAAAATGCATAAAAATCAGGCGCTGCCATGCTAATTCCCTTTCATTTACTGATTTACACAAGCAAACATATGTACTACTAAAACTCAAGTTTGCTCGCTTGATACGACTTTTCGCGTTCTGAACATTTCCATATTAGAGCGTTGGCTGCACTCAAGCCTTCCGCCTTTTGTCGTGGATTCTAATCTCACCGAGGCTGCTGAGTTTTGCACAAGTGGGTAAAATGGATTTGATGTGGGCTCGATGTTTTCGGTTGGAATCACTTATATGGCCCCAATACCCACGACACATGCAAATAGGAACACCCTCACATAATAGGGATTGGCCATGCGCAAACTTCCAGGAAGGTGAACACCACTTTGCCCTAACACAAGCCGAAACCTTAACCTAAGCCCTACACTCAACCCTAACCCTGATTTCTCTGGAAAATAAAACAAAATGCCTCCCCTATTACTCGTGATTCCTGCTCCCGTGCTTTTTCAACCCCCACAATATTTTCATTTAACTAAAGGTCAGTCATTTTAAATTTGTTTTTTGACCTTTTTCGAGTTGATTTCTAGAAATTCAGGCAAGCTCGGTCCTGCCCAGTTAAAAACATGAATAAGCTTGGCGAGTGTCTAGAAAGAAAGAGGGAGGAGGAAGTGCAGACGCAGGAATGAGAGTAAAATGAAAGAGAGTGGCAGACAGTAAATTGGACGCAAACCGACCTGATAGGCAACACAAATGGAACAGGCTCGATTGCCTGGTGGTAGGAATCGCGAAAATGCGGCCGCTTATCAAGAAAAGGTACTTGTGGGGAAGGGAGGGGGGCAATAGGCTGAAGAGGACGTGAATATGTCAGATACAATTGTCGTGCCCGCATTCCCCCCCTTTATCAGTTAAACCCAAATATAATTGAAGGTATCAGCAAGAAATTATATGAGAAGTTCTTCATATAGTTGCTAAGAGATCATTTTCCAGGGAGACCTAATCAATGTCAACGCATACAAAGCTGTGCGACCTAGCAATATAAACATACTGCAATCCTGCTATTGATGAAAAAAAAGTCGTTGACTCGCCGATTAATCGCCTCAGCTCTTATAGCCTCGCTATTATGACTCATCACTTGGCAACCCGAATTAAACAGTGGTATCCCAGTCCAGTGAAACTGATAGGGATTATGCACACCAATAGTGTTGCCGCTTCAAGCTTAAGTTCTTAACGTGGACGCGGAAATGCTGCTCACCTTCAAGAAGATAACGGTTGTTTACGGGAGCGGTGATCTTTGGCCAGGCTGACCGGAAAACACTCGTCTTCTTCATTAGCAGATTGCGCCAGATGTGTTCGCAGATGTGCGAACAGATGGGACTGAGCATCAACGTCTGCGTTTCAATGTAGCGTGTCACGAGATCCACGTGCATGCCCTTGGTCTGGCAGACCTCACGATAACGGTCCTTACAAGCCTGTAGACCAGAAAATCGAAAAAAAAATCGTCAGTCTTAGAGACAAAGAAGACAGCTGTGATGCAGAAATGGGGGACTCCTGAGCACGCACTTGGAACTCGTAAAAGACCGCCTTGAGAGCCTCCTTGTAATTTTGGGCGCTGTAGTACTCATCCACTACTTGAATCGTCCGATTGATGTCACTGCAAGGAGAGAGGATAAAAACACAAGGTAGGAAATAGCGAAGATGGATTGATCACGGCAGACCGTGCACTCATTTAGGCTAATTGTCTGGTTAGGAGGAAAGTAAAGATGACTTTGTGGAAGCGTGGCCGATGGACAGGTGGTTGTTATTCAAAAGAAGGCTACAAAAATGACCGTACCCGCTCCGACGACTTTCTGCAGGTATGTTA